GGGTTCTGGACCCTTTTTTTTTTTTTGCGGGGTGCCGACGACACCCGACCGGTAGTTGCTGACCAGCCGATCGGTCGGCGGGTCGGCAGCTTACCAGTCAAGGGCCGCTGACCGTCGGGGGGTGCAACACTGACGTGGATTAAAGAAAACACTCCCCTGCCGTCAAACCTGTGTCTACGTGGAAAAAAAAGGGCCACGGACAGTGCTGGCACCACGTGTCCTGTGAAACGTCCGCCCGACCCTTGGCCCGTTGGAAGTGTGTTAGGGGGACTGTATTTTTCTTTAAATATTACAAGGCAATGCCCACCGTGGCTCTGCGTGCGGCGGAGACCTGCTCCTCCTCCTCCCCCTTGCTCCTTGGCACTGTCTGCCATCTCAAAGGAGAAAGAAACATTGTACGCTGCACCCACCCACAAGACGACCCAAAAAAAATGAAAACTAAAACCCAACGAATCAACAGGCAGGCCAAAACGAAACGACGCAAGAAAAACGAAACATTCCGGAACACCATGAGTCCTGCCACCTCGCCCAAGGACCCTCACTGAACTGCATGACGCACAGAAAAGAAAAGCAAACAATGCAGCACTTCCCAAACGGTCCGCGCCCCACCTCCCATTCATTTTTTTTTTCGTTTTTTTTCTTGGGCCAGATATACATCTGCAGTTTCCACTGCTTAGTTCCTACTTCAGCTTCCTCTGCTGCAGTGTCGAATGCAGTAGTTTCCGTACTTGGAATTCCCCCTACTGTAGTTTTCGCTGCTACAGCTCCTCTGCTGCAGCTCCAGTGCAAAGGATATCACAGTCTCTGCGACGCTCACGTCCTTTAGTTCAAAATCTTGCCCAATCCAGCTGCGGTTTCCACTGCCGCAATTCCTACTACAGCTTCCTCTGCTGCAGTTTTCAGTACAGCTGTTTCCGTAGCTGGAACTCCCCCTACTGTAGTTTTTTCTGCTACAGCTTCCTTGGCTGCAGCTCCAGTACAAGGCACATCACAGTCTCTCCGACACTCATGTCCTTATTTCAAATTCTTGCCCAATCCACCTCCTCCGGTTACCATTGCTCTCATTGTTCCACCTTTGTTGCCAAAGACATGTTCATCTTCAGTTTGCAACACCACTATCCCTTTTATTGTATGTTGTCGATGGCGTGCGCTGCATCGTGGCTTGTCTGGGGATCAGCAGCCTGTTTCTTTGTCTGCCCCAATTCTCTCTGTGCCTGCTCCACAGGTTATTACAGTTTCTTTGTTCCAAACGACAACATCTGCTCCTATGCATCCTGCAGAAAAGTCCCGCTGTCAGCAGGCAGCCACAGGACCATGTTTTATGCCCTTCAGCGTTTGATGTTCACAAGTCCCCTGGGATCCCTGCCCAGGGTACACTCCCGATTCCAGGTATAGTCCCTACTCAAGATGCAGCCCCAAATGTCGAGGGGTTGGAACATGATTTGCCTGGATCTCTGTTATGTGCCTGATTGAAACGAGATACAGCATGTCATTCACACCTTCCGATACCCGTGCAATGACAAGAGATCTTGGAGAGACTAGTCCACACCACACCGGATGAGAAAATACACAGCGGAAGCACTTAAAACCAAAAATAGCGTCGAAATTAATCAATTCCATACGTGCGGTGCATCACATGCACGCAAGTTGCACACGTGCGGTGCATAGCACACGCGCATGCATGCGCGCGCACGTGATGCGGCGCACCCCAATAAATAGGGTCAATAAAAAAAATCAGAAAGGGCAGGCTGTGGTAGCCAAACGTGCCCCTCCCTTCTGAAACTTCTAAGTGAACACACAAAAAAAGGGCCCGCATCGTACTCCTCGTTGGATTCAGTCTCAATACCGAAAGTCCCCTAGCAGGAAATCAGCAAGGGTCCTATTTAGTAACACAGATGTTGATTGAAATCTGGGTGAGACATGAGCAGACCAGCAATATATGTTCTGGATTCGAATTCAAGCCTGTGTTCCAGCAGTTATGGGTTACAACTACTTACTTCGGTAACTCTCTCTTCTTTTTTGTTTTCCTTTTCTTACATGCGGTGCTCTTAAAGGCCTTTTTTGTTCCACTAGTCACCACTTGCACAAAAGACAACATATGGCGGCGTATGGTTCCATGTTCTAGCAGAAGATTCGTTCTAATTTTGCAAATTTGGTGAGTAGTGGAACGAAGCCCTGAAAATAAAGTGCTGAGTTAGTAACATAGTAACCCATAACTCGGCAATCACGGACCTACACCATTTATAGTTGGCCTGCTACTGTCCTGCTACAAGCCCCACGATTGCCTCTTACTTGGTGAGGAGACCCTTGCTAGTTATCTGCAGGGTCTTTTCGGATTACCTGCAGGGGTTTTCAATTTGTGTGAAAGGGCTCTTTGCTTGCTCTCCCCCTCTCTCGCTATCTATCTCTCTTGCGTCTATACACACAACGCCACGCGCACCGCACCACACCACATGGCGCACCACACACTTGCGCCGCAGGTATGATCAATTCTAATTAATACCGCCTCTCTCCAACTCAATCAGCAGCACGAAATTCCCAGGATCCCAACCACGTTATCGACACACAGAACCAGTTACTTACAACATCGAAGTTATTTGGGAGACTTCTTCCTCCCTCGCCACCAAGCTCTAGCTATGGCACAGATAGCGCCCAACCTGTGGACCCTGCCAACACTACACACCCATCCTGCGCCCGACAGAATCAGCTTTAGCTCTACAAATCCTCCACTGCAGATGACATGTCCACTCAGCAAGGGAGTGCGCTCCCAGGATGAAGAAGAAGACCACAAATGCGATGAAGTGTCCTGCAACGAAGCATCACTTCCTAGGAGGACTCTCAAGAATCAGTCTGTCCTAAGAATCACTCCTTACTTTCCCTTACTTTCCCGTTGTCTCCTTTGTTTTGTCTTCTCTCCATCTCTTCTCTGTGTTTATCCCTTCCCCCTTCACTCTGCCTCTTTCTCACAGCGTACAAGTGGGCCGTTATGACACACGGGGGTGCTGGCAGCTCGCACTGAACTTCATCAACACGGCGAGCCCTGTACGTGAGAGGCACAGTAAAGGAGGAGTTAAAAGAAGAACGATAAAAATGAATGGTTTCAGTGTGCGCTTGATGTTTGTCTTGTTGTCGTGTGTATTTTAATCGTTTGTTTCACAAACGACGCTCTTTTAGTTCATACTACTTCATAGATATGTGACAATATATGTTGCATCTAGGCTGTTTTTTTCTGGCCGCCCGGGCACCCAACTTGTGCCCAGATAAATGCCCGGGTGCCCGCCCAGGCATGAACCCCAGGCAGGGTCCTGGGCAGCCCCAGTGAAAAAAAGAAAATCCGAAACTTCCAGAAAAAGAAATGTTGTGTAGAATTGCAATGCAAACGACTTTTGGCTGAAGGTCACGTCAGAACTCACGGAATACAAGATGAAAAAAAAAAAAAAAAAAAAAAAAAAAAAAAAAAAAAAAAA